GAGCGACTGCTAGTTTCTCAAGAAGGACCCTGCCCGATGGATTTAATTAGAGATGTAACTGCAAACGTTAGACCGAGATAGGCCCGTATTTAGTTTCCTGCCTTAATGTCATTATTCTAAATTATGCGCTACTCGAACTTCATTGAGAAAGGAAACCAAAGTTTCAGTATACCATTTTAACGCAACATTCGAAATGGAGCCTTAACGATTAGAAAGCAACACAGATTTTCGGGTTCCTGACATGATAGTCTCGTCTCACGAAAATTCTGTATATAACCGACCTTTTGAAAATTATGCGAATTTTGATCAGTCTTTGTAATCACTGAGTTTTATCACGTGTATGAGTGACTATAGACGGGTTGGGATTGGTAATTGGATTTATTGAACACTTAACAGAACGTAACTACTTGGAACCCAAAGGAAGGGGGACGTCCGTTGTTGAAAGCAGCTACCAAGCAACGGCTAGTGAAGATTCTAGCAGGGTGAAAAGACTTAAGTGTGAGCTCTGCTGACTTGTGAAGTGTGTGAATTAGTGAAACGGTTATAATTACTTTTAGTCACGGACTTGTAAGAGTTCAATAAATCCAATTACCAATACAAATCCCGTCTATAGTCACTCTATCACGTGACTATGTAAATAAATGAATGCATAAATAAGAAAGTTACCAAAGAAATAAACCTACTAAAGCAGCAAATAAATAGTTTTGCGCATTCATATCAATAAATACATAAAAACAACGAATAAATAAGCAAACAACTAAAGAGGTAAAAGAAGTGACGCAATAAATAAATATTTAAGTATGTAGATAAATATAATTTTTTTAGTTGGTTACTTAGCGACGCTACCAATACTGATAATGTAAAGTTAAATAAATATATACTATTTTTCAGTTTTATTAAAAACAATTCTGACAAAACATTTTGCTCCGGGCTTGTAAGATTTCACTCTTGAGAGTTTGTTTACTGAGCGGTAAGATTTATTTAAAGTGTTACACAATGTTGAGGCTTATAGAACGCACACAGACCCACGTATCATCCCTTAAGGATAAGACTTTCCAACCTTTTTCTACGCGTTTACTTTTCCATGCGAAAGCGTAATGCAATTTAGCTGTGAGGTGAAAGAAGTTTTAGTAATCTGCCTACAGATAACTCGCAAGCACATCGCCATGGTGTGCCATCTGTAGCAGCTCCACAGAACTACTAGCGCACTGCATTGATACACATGTCAGGGGAGCAGTTCATCTACGGTAAAGAACATCTAAACGCTGCGACGAGTTCCACTTATAAATGACAATTAAAATTCAATATAGGAGCGACACTAGAAGGTTACAAATTTGTATAAGGTCTGCCATTTTCATATATGCTGTAAGCGCTGAAATCTCGAAATTATGTTAAACGCATTTTAGTACATAGTTTTCCACGACCGTCGCATAATAATAATAATATTAATAATAATAATAATAATAATAATAATAATAATAATAATAATAAAGACCGCCTCTATGGTCTAGTGGTCAGAGTTCCTGGCTACAGATCGAGAGGTCCCGGGTTCGATTCCCGGCGCTACCAGATTTTCTGAGAAGTAGTGGGTCTGGAACNATAATAATAATAATAATAATGGTAATTCAGTTCCTTTGTTTGAGTGTTTGCCAGCAGCAAGTAGCGTATAATGCGTAAATAACTCAAAACTATAGCAAAAAGTTTGACTTTAATACTTTAACGGAAACAGTGAACTCAGTATGACTGAGAATTCATCTAGTGTCCTGGAGATGACAAGACGTGTTTATTGAAAATGTCTAGAAACAGACGAATTCTGTTTGCATCCGTGACACACCTCGTCGAAGGATTAACTCTTGAAACACTGCTCACGTTAAAAGTGTAAAATTCTCTATTTTGCTTAGAGGGCACACGGAGACCAGCGGCATCCATAATAGAGTATCACTTAATTTTGTCCTCAAAAACATTTAGCAATAAGTGAAATACGGAGCTGCCGTCGTGTGGAGCGAAGTGTTCTGAAGTTTAAACTATAAAAAAATCGAATCATAGTTACGAGAAAAATAGGAGCGACTGAAATAGGTTGTAACACAAACTTGGCAAAACTTGTTTAGTATATTTTCCAGTTTATTGGAATCTGCTAAAATAAGGTTATTCCAGGTGATAGAGGTGTGTATGCTTTTTAAGTATACTTAAGTATACTTAAGTAAGCTTTTAAGTATACTTGACTTTTGGTCGAAATAAGAAAATAAATACACTTATGTGAGTGAAAAGTTAAAACTAGGCCTATAACAGGCCGCGGAGGCCCACATGGTTGTGAAACGTCGAGACTTCCACATTTTCTAGGCATTTGGCTCATAGATGGCGGTGAGGTCAGCCTTACGCACCAGCCACCCTTTACTCCCATGAAAATTCCTGATACTAGAGACTGGATAGACCTCAGGGCCATAGTGTGGCTGGAAGGATTAGGTAAATTGTGAAATCCAGTGACCTCAACGGGAATCGTACCCATGACCTTCCGGCTTGTAGCATAGTGCCTTAACCAACTACGCTACCTCATGTTCCTGTTATAAGAGTAATGCAACAATATGATGTCTCATTATCTTTGCCCTTCAATTAATACTGTAAATGCAAAAAGTAAAGGTATCCCTGTAACAGGCCGTGGAGGTCCATGGGGTTGTGAGACGTCGAGGCTCCCACATTATCTAGACATGGCTCCCTAAATACTGTAAGGAGATGAAATCAATGAGTATGAAATGGGCGGTTATAGTACTCTCGAAACTATACAGTTCGAGCTATTGGAAGCGTCGTTAAACAACTCGTAAACAAATAAGTAAATTAATAAATGCATATAAGCATATCTGCCTAAATAAAGACGAAAATTGCATGCAAAATTTTATTCAGAAAGCCGATAAGGACAACTTAGGAGACGTAGGCGTGGATAGGAAGATAATATTAAATGGATCTTAAATACTTAGGCTTTGAGAATGTGCACTGGACTTGCTTGGTTTAGAATATGGTCCGGTTCGGTATTATTCTCATCACCACGGGGACTTAAAAAGCACACAGCACAATAGCCACGACACTCCCAACCCCGCAAAAATACCAAGTGCCTCGAAACTTGGTGGATTTCTTCTGACACTTCAGGTAAACCCCACTGTTAAGATTTTAAAATAAGTCATCACCTTTGCCTCTATGAATATACCAGTAATAAAACTGACATTTTTGCTTTTGACCTCTCATTATATTGTGCAGTAGATACAGAGTCATGAAAAAAAAAGTAACTTGAAAATTATGGCTGAACATATTCTGTTCTCAGTTCTAGCTACTTTGCTTGTGACTCGGACAGAAGGATATAGATTACAGCATAGCGGGCTTAGCAGATATGTTAATTAAAAATGGACGGATAAATTGACTGCAGCTACCGAACAAATTATATTTTTCCGCAAATAAAAGGCTCTTGAACTGTATTTATCTTACGTGTTTTGTTATTATACCAAGACTTCGGACTTCTTAAGAAAAGGTACCGTCTGGCAACCTTGTAGGTATGGTAGAAGTCGCCTGATTGGTGGAAGACTGTTCCCCTCTCACTCTTTTATGCTGCCGTCAATGTAATGGTGGCTCAGGGGGAAAAGAATGGAAAGAGAAGAAGAGAATTTCTTATTCTCGGTAGTTGGAGTTACTAGCCTGAAGAAGAGAGAGAGAGAGAGAAAGAGGCAAGAGTGGAGTGAGGTTAAGAGTTTGTAGCTCTGCTCTGGCGGCAACGGTAACCAGTCGGCAAGAGTAGCAGGTCTCGCGTAGTTCGCTTGTTTCATCAACAGTGACGTGTGTTTGTTGTCATAGAAACGAGTGGATTGAAGGACTGTATAGTGTCAGAAGATGTCATGACGTGAAAAGATGTTGATTAGACAATCGATGTTGGATGAAATTGGTTTTGGTTTGTTTATTGATTGCTGTTTTTAAACACCTGCTGGGATGTTGCTTTCTGCGAGACAAGTTCAAAGGCATTTACTTCTGGGAAGATGATGGTTCACGAAAATAACAACAGTTGGGTGCAGACACATGGTAGTGTTGTCAACAGGTGGAGTGAGTGCCTGCATATGTTGCCAGAACCAGACGTCTCGAATCTCGTGACACGTGTGATACATCAGTGACATCAGTTTGTTTCTCTTTATGAAATTAATTAAAATTAAATATTCGAAAGTGGAAGAGAGAATTAGAGCTGTGATATTGCAATACTTAATACGCATGTGCCAGTCGCATATCAGTGCAGGATATCAGTGGCAGTTCTTGATTTATGTATTCCACGAAATTATATTACGGCCAGAACAAAAATATCGAATAAAAGAAGAAAAAAAAAGTGTAATTAAGACGCATTATTCAGTTAATTTAAACTAAATTAACAACATTTTATCCACCAGTGACTATATATGTTCTCATAAAAGACATAATTTTGACAGTTACTTTTCGAAGCCTCTTTTCTTATCTTCCGATGTTTGAAGGTTGGTCGCCTCATGGCAACAGTCAGTCAGTCAGCCATGTTGAATACCTGTCTCGGAGGAAGGCCCATCTATTCTCAGCCGTAATCCCCTGCCGGGAGAAAAGAGAAGAAAACGAAAGAGAGAGAAAGAGATACTGAAGAAGAGAAGTTTGGGGGGTACAAGGAGGGAACGGGGGGGAAAGAATGTTCAGTCTTCTTCGGCAGGCAGCAAGCAACAAGTGCCGGCCAGCTCACGATTAACTTCAGTAATAAGAAAGAATACGGGTTTGCTGTCACGAGACACGTGCGGTGTGTTTGTGCGTGTGCGCGGAAATTAGTGCGTCTTCGGCTCGTCGATTCGTTTTTTCGCGTGAACAGATGTGACGTAAAATAATTCGCGGTGTCGTATCGATACGGACTTCGTCGATATATAACTATTATCGCGTTTTGGAATAAGCTTATCGACCAGTGTATGTTAATCTGGAAAGAAAACAGTTCCGCCAACAGTAAGTTGGGTTGCTGTCGTAATGATGTGTGGGGGCTAAAACATGCGACTTCTGTGTATTATCAGCGAGAGAAGGACCGCGTTGTGAACATCGGTGAATGCAATGATGGTGCGGCCGTGGTGTTGGTACCTGCTGGTCCACGTGGCCGCCGCTACTGTATCAGTGCAGGGCCAGCAACTCGGCGAGATGCAGTCTCGTGCTGTCGACACGAGGGTCACCCTAGAAATACTGGAGGGTCAGCCCCGTGGCACTGTTGTTGGCACCATCCCAATAAAACCAAACTTTACTTACCGTTTTAACGAACCGCCAAGGGAATTCACTCTCGATTCGAACACAGGAGAAATCCACACAACGGTCGTGTTGGACCGTGAATCTTTACGAAACGATAGGTATGACCTCGTTGTGCTATCCAGTCAGCCCACATACCCAATCGAAGTGCGTATTGTTGTTATAGATGTAAACGATAACACGCCTGAATTCCCGGAGCCCAGCATAGCGGTTACTTTCTCCGAAAGCGCGGCGGCCGGCACACGGCTATTGTTGGACACGGCGAGTGACCGCGATTCGGGAACAAATGGTGTGTCTGATGACTATCGGATAGTTGCCGGCAACAGAGATGATAAATTTCGGCTTGTAGTCACTGCAAATCCCAGCGGCGAAATCACATATCTCCATTTAGAAACAACAGGGAAATTGGACAGAGAAACCAGGGCTTTTTATCAGCTGAACATATCTGCAAGAGACGGTGGAGACCCCCCGAGATACGGCTACCTTGAGGTCAATGTAACCATTCTGGATGTAAACGATAACCCGCCCATCTTCGACCACAGCGATTACATAGTATCTCTGAATGAAAGTGTGCCTCCCGGAACTCCTGTCCTTCAAGTCATGGCAACCGATAGTGACGTGGGTGATAATGCCAAGATCACATATTATCTAGCAGACACGGAGAGGCAGTTCGGGGTCGATCCTGAGACTGGCGTCATATCCACGACAGAGACACTAGACTGTCCCCAACAGAGTTGTCCCCAGCTGCCAACAAGACCTTCTGGAGGGGGCGGCTGTCCCAAGAGCTGTGTGTTTACCGTGTTTGCTCGGGATCACGGATCACCAAGACAAGACGGTCGAACTTACGTCACTGTCAATCTTGTGGACGCAAATGATCACGATCCTGTAATAAGGTTCCGATATTTCCCCTCTACAGCTGGTTTTGCTACCGTGGACGAGAACGCTGTGAATGGTTCTGTTGTGGCGGCAGTGTCAGTTGTTGACCTTGACGAGGGGTTGAATGGTGATACCACGGTGGAAATAAAGGCCGGAAATGAGCTGGGCCACTTTCGTCTGGATTACACCCCTAGTTTTGACATCGTCCGTGTTCATGGGGTACTGGACCGAGAAGAGGTGAACAAATACAACCTGACGGTCGTAGCAAGAGATAAAGGTCAGCCGCCACGGACAGCAACCGCCTTCCTCGTGATACACGTGAACGACGTCAATGACCACGAACCAGTGTTCGAGAAGAGTGAGTATTCCGCGGTTCTTAGCGAACTGGCTCCTCCAGGGACGTACGTTGCTGGCATAACGGCAACAGACGAGGACACGGGAGTCAACGCTCAGATTTATTACGCCTTTGTGTCCGGCAACGAGCATCGCTGGTTCGAGATGGATGTGAACTCGGGCCTGATAACGACTCGGGCTCCACTAGACCGGGAAGTGCAGGATACAGTGGAGCTCAGGATTTCAGCCAGAGACGGAGGTCCGAATCCTAAGTGGGCTTACACACAGTTGAAAGTGACAATCCTCGATGAAAATGACGAGAAACCGGTCTTCTCAGAGGAGCGTATCAACGTGTCCCTTTCGGAAAGCACTGCACCAGACACACTTGTCGCCATGTTGACCGCATCTGACCACGACCAAGGAACTAATGGCAGTGTTACGTATAAGCTTGTGGAACGCTATCCTGGCGTATTTGCTTTGGATTCTCTGACAGGCCAGCTCACAACTCGGACTGTCCTCGATAGGGAGACAGTGCCAGGCTATGAGATCCATGTGATAGCCCGTGATCAGGGAGTTCCTCCACAGTCCGCTACAGCTACAGTCTTTCTTTCCGTCCTGGATATCAACGACAACAGTCCTGAGTTTTATCCACAGCTATACTTTGCGTCTGTGCCAGAAAATCTTCCTGTTGGCTCTTCTATTCTCCAAGTTACGGCAACTGACCGTGATGATAAGGAGCATGCTGTTATCAGGTTCGCTCTGCAGGATACTGGAGAGATGAGAGACATGTTTGGTGTCAACGAGTCGACAGGTGTGTTGACTCTGAAAGCATCGCTTATGGAGACGCAGAACGCCTTGTTCAAGCTCGTAATAACGGCGATGGACGGTGGAGACAGGAAAGCGCTCAAGGATGCAGAAGTAGAGATCGTTAAGGAGAGCAGAATGGAAGAACTGGAGTTTGAGTCGTACAGTGGCTACGAGTTCCAGATCGCCGAGGATTATGGTGACAGGGCACCATCGATAGGCAGAGGAGTCGGTCGCGTTCAGGTGAGGTCAAGGGGCTTAGGAACTGGGATGGCAGCAGTACGATATTCCATCGTGTACGGCGACCCTCACAAGAGCTTCAGGATCGACGAAAGTTCTGGGGTTATAACAACAGCAAGTAGAATCGACAGAGAACAAGTGGCGGTGTATAGCTTATCCATCATAGCGAGAAGAGGCCACGCATATGGTAGAACAACAGTGAACATTACAATACATGACGAAAATGACAATGCTCCAGTGTTTTCTAGAGACAAGGACGAAGTGAGATTAGCGGAGAACGCGGCGGTAGGCCAGGAAGTGTACTTGGCACGCGCAAGGGACCGGGATTCTGGTATCAACAGCCGTGTATCCTACACGCTATCCTACAATCCAGATGAACAGTTTAGTATCGCAGAGTCCACTGGAGTCATTTACCTGAATCGTCCAATCCGTGTCGAACCAGGCAGCACGATGAGCGTGGAAGTGGCTGCAACCGACGCAGGAGAACCTTCACCACTGTCGTCACGTCACGTGGTGGTAGTCACAGTGGAGGACGTGAATGATCATACCCCGGTCTTCGATCACACTTCCTACGAGACTTCTCTTCTGGAGTCGACACCTGTCAACGCTAGATTCTTCGCATTGGCTGCTACAGACGCTGACCTTGGTGCAAATGGACTGGTTCAGTACGCTATAACTGAGGGAGACGCCGACGGGAAATTTGGGGTCTTTCCTGACGGCTACCTGTATGTTAAGAGTTCACTGGACCGCGAAAACAGGGACTACTACTCCTTGACAGTTACTGCTAGAGATCACGGCGATCCTGCGAGGAGTTCCATGGTGCCAGTCGTTGTCCATGTCATTGACGAGAATGATAATGCTCCAGAGTTCACCAATTCAACCTTCACGTTCCAGCTGCGTGAAAACGAACCTCCGGACTCCTTCGTCGGCAAGCTTACAGCCACAGATCGTGATATGGGACGTAATGCAGAACTGACTTTCTCCCTAGCCAATGCGCAGAAGGACTTTGCAATTGACCCCAAAAATGGCTTCATCAAGACCCTACATGTTTTCGACAGAGAAGAACTTCTTCAGAGCACCGGTCAGAGCTACGTCACTTTGGAAGCCACCGTTACTGATAACGGAGTTACAAGACTAAGTGACAAAGTTAAAGTGAATGTGTACGTAACAGATGAAAACGACAACGCTCCTAAATTTCTCCGAACTCCATATAAAGTTCAGATATCTGAAGCATCTCCCGTGGGCACTCAGATATTCAGAGTATCCACTACGGACGCTGATGAGGGCCTCAACGGTGACGTATTCTATTCAATTATCAGTGGCAATGCTCAGGGACAGTTTGCTATTGACGAGGCTACAGGTCAGATCACTGTGGCTCGGGTTCTGGACCGAGAGGCAGCTTCACGGTACGTGCTTAGTGTTGCAGCTCAGGATGCCGGACTGAGTGTTCGGCTCAGTGCCACAGAAACTGTTGCAGTTGACCTGCTGGACGAGAATGATAACGCCCCTGAGTTCACACAGACCGAATCCCGTGTGTCCGTGCTTGAAACCACAGCCATCAACACAAGGCTCGTACAGTTCCGTGCATCAGACGCCGATCTCGGTGTCAACAGCGAAGTGACTTTCTCTATCGGAGCTGGTAATCGTCGCGATGCCTTCCACATGGACCCTCTTACCGGAACCCTTTTCCTGCACAAGGCCCTGGATTATGAGGAACTAACCACTTACACCCTCAACATCACAGCTTCAGACGGTGGTAATCCTCGCCTCTCCACTACGATATTATTCCACGTGGCAGTTGAAGACAGCAATGACAACCCACCTGCCTTCCCCAACACGGCCATTGTTCGGCAGATCCGTGAGGGTATTCCTGTCCACACACCCATAGTGACTGTGGCAGCTGAGGACCCCGACTCTGGTCTCAACGGCCGGGTCAAGTACACTATCTCCCGTCAGCAGCCAGACGACTCCAGGCGACATTTCGGCATAAACCCAGCCACTGGCGTGATCCACACCCTGCTGCCTATTGATCGCGAGTCGGTCGATACTTTCCGGCTCCTCGTCGTGGCGACAGACCAAGCGCTTCCGGAGAACACGCGCCTCTCGGCCGAGAAGCTCGTAACAGTGATCGTAGAGGACATCAACGATAACGCCCCTCTGTTCGTGTCGATGAGTGCCGCCCTGCTACCTCGTACTGGCCTGCACGTAATGCAGATACTGGCTCGGGACCTGGATTCCAGCACCAACGGATTAGTCACCTACGAACTCGTCAGCGGGGACACCGACCTCTTCCGTTTGCACCGCAGTTCCGGTGCTCTGTCGCTGAAGACGACCATAGCGTCGCCGGAAACCCGTTATCACCTGCAAGTGAAAGCTACAGATGAAGCTGTGCAGCCAGAGAGGAAGTCTACAGACGCCTACATCACCATCATTGCAGGGGGAGGCGGCAGTTCGGGTGGTTTGGTGTTCGAGGGCGGGGGAGCTGCAGGGTTGGCTGGCAGTGTGTATGAGAATGAGCCTCCCGGCACGAGCATTGTGACTGTGCGAGCAAAGGGACAGCCAGATAACAGGGAGCTCGAGTATTATGTGGTGAACGTGACGGGAACACACGGGAGGCAGGTGGACCGTCTGTTTGACGTGGACACGAAGTTGGGCATCCTCGCTACAGCCGCACAGCTTGACCGGGAAGCGGGTTCCGACACTTACACCGTCGAGGTCGCTGTCATTGTAGCCAACTCGCCGACTCCCATCACCTCCTCCACCAGGGTGAGTCCCATACATGACACGTAGCGCTTTTAAGAGGGCGGGTTATGTTGGAGAGTAAACGGCAAGTTTGATAAGGGAAGAAACACATTACACTCACTCTCTTAGTTATTATTTTATCGTCAGGTGCATCTAGTTAATTAATTGTATCCGATGGTAAAATAATAGTTATTTTTTTTCGGAAACGTTACAATTATTATAAAACGTTGGGCATTGTGCATTTTCTTCGCTGTATTTAAAATTATAAGATACTTCGGAAGCTAGATTTGTTTTTGTCTTCAGATGTAAAGTATGAGAAATGATCCAATTCAGTTGGGCCCGTTAGATCGCTTCGCCCGAAACATCGTATAATTTGAAATATTAAGACAGTGGACAGTAGCCAGCATAATAATTTTATAATTAATAAAATGCTATCTTCATACAAAACCGTCAGAAGATCCTCATATAAGACCAACGGAGAGGAACTGAGTGTTGTATAAAGACTAGTAAAAAAAAAACAGCAACCAGTATTGATATCTTCTTAATATGCATTCTAGTTTATCACGAGATATTACTTTCGTAATTTATTATAAAAAGAAAAGCACTGTTTTAAGCCGATTATCCCCCCCCCAGCGAGTATTTTCGCGGACGATGGCGTAGGACTATAAACTCCCACATAAAAATTCTACAATTAATGGAATATATGTTGAAATGTAATTGAATTCAAGTGGCGCATGATCGTGCCCCCGAATGTCGTGGGTGATAATTCGGCTTTGTATTCGGAATATCCAGGAGTTTAAATCTCCGATAAGTGACTGACTATTTTGGCGGAATATTCGTCCCCTCTCCAGACCCCTCATTTCATAGTACCTCAAACTGCGTCACGACCGTTTCTTTCCATGCTATTTACATTTCACTGCTCGTCCTGTCCTTCTGCGCTATATAGCCCGAGTTACTGCAAGCGTTCTGAACAAGTCGGATAGTACGGAATGTCGTGCTTTCTTGACAGTGGGGACACTCAGTTTCTATTTATTTATTTATTTGTGGTTTGTTTGAGAGTGGTGTTAGTACTATAGAACTATCTGTCAATCTATCTACAGGTTCCCGGCCGATTTTTCAGTTTTTTAATCCTATACACAGTGGGTAGGATCTTGGATGGGGGATCGGCCCGTTTCAAGGTCTCTACCTACACACAGGGTAACACAAACACAGAATAAACGCACACAGACATCCATGTCTCTAGTGGTACTCGAACCCAAGATCCCAGTGTTTGAGTGGCCGAAGACGGCTCATGTTTTAGACTGCGCGGCCATTGTGAGCGGCGTCTACAGGACTGCAGCGTAGACCGGTACGAATCGAATAAGATGTGTAAAGGAAGCGATCGTGACTTAATTAGGAAATCATCTCGCTATTTGCCTTAAGGGGCTGAGGAAATTTACGGAAAAGTTCAAGATTGTTGATATTTCGGCCGAGATTCGAAATTACTACCTCATTAATACAAAGTCAGTCTACTCGGTAGTGATATTTAGGGGTTGCTTAATGTAGAGTTATAGCTTGTACTCTTCTCCAAGTATAATTAGAATGATCAAGTCAAGGAGGATGAGGTGGGCAGGTCATGTAGCACGAATGGGGAGAAGGTGAATGCATGTAGGATGTTGGTGGGAAAGCCAGAAGGAAAGAGACCACTGGGAAGACCAAGGGGTGTGTGGGTGGACAATATTAAAGTGGATCTTAGGGAGATAGGATGGTATGGGTTGGATTGATCTGGCTCAGGATAGGGACCAGTGGAGGGCTCTTGTGAACACGGTAATGAACCTTCGGGTTCTATAAAATGCTGGAAAATTTTTGAGTTGCTGCAGATTTGGCTTCTCCTCAAGAAGGGCTCAATTCTATAAGTAAGTAGGTTAATGTAGATTGTCCATATTGTTTGCTTTGAATTAGTTTGCGAGATTTGTTTAGTTTTCAGTTTCATGTCTCGAATGGCAATGAAAGAGAAGCTCTAAGTCAACCACAGGTGTCATCCTAAACACAAATTAAGTTGATGTAAATTGACAGTTTCAAAGCAAAACTAAATTGGCTAGCAACCTCATGGAGCAGTTTTCTCTTTCCCACTACATCAAAGCTATTAGTTGTTTGCAAACATGTCTCCACCCATCGTTTTGAAATGAGAATAGATAGTATCTGATTATGAACCCTGACCCATGGAGACATGCCAAGAACATATGAGAACACTTTCATTCTACGTAACTCTACTTGCATGCGGCCAGGAATATGACACGGATATTACTCCATCGGAACCTCCCTTGAACACTGTGCTATGCCTGCAATGCTATTCTGAAAACGTGATTTAAACGTGAAGGCAAAAAATAAGATCTTAGTAGTTTAATTGTGTACTGGAGTAACACAGTGCCTCTGAATTACTGGGTTTTTTTACTTCTTCCATCGTCCGGAATTCTAGGTAATAGAGTACACGACGTTTCGGAAACTGGATCTGTTTCCGTCTTAAGGTGAGGAAGGAAGACACCTACTCAGTTGGGCCCCTTAGAAAGAGCTAATCTCATTCTTTGTAAGGGGCCCAACTGAGTAGGTGTCTTCCTTGCTCACCTTAAGACGGAAACAGAGCCAGTTTCCGATACGTCGTATCCTCTATTACCTAGAATCCCGGACGATGGGAGAAGTCCAAAAACCCAGTAATTCTGTGTGTCATCCACCATCGTCGGAGCCCTTTAGAATCTACGGTGCCTCTGCTTGTCTTGTTAAGCTTTAGGAAGCTTCTTTGCATTTTAGACAGACATTTGTCGCCTGTATTTCATGAAACAATAAAAGCTGAAATACTGTGAGACCCGTGGAGCTGGCCACATGTTAAAGTCGGCCGTATCTCATTGTTGGCCACGATTCTAACGGAACCGGCAAAATCATATTAAATTACAGATGCCCAGACCATTCTGACTTGTTCCTCAACCTTGTATCTTGTCCCCCTTTTTCCATTTCATGACACAGTTGTATATACGTCCATATTATACACTGTATATTGGCAACAGAAAAATGATACGTCTCTACAAATGTAATCTTTTTACTCAGCCGTTTCCTTGAGTTTCTTTGCGATAGATCGATAATCAGCAGCTCACCAAAAGGTGCACCTTCTTCTTGTTAATATTACCGTGTGTCGTGTGTTTTGTATTTCGAAGTGTAAATGTCACAGATCCAATGATTTGACATTCAGTAGTTATAGGGCCAGAAACAAAATAGAGAGCATTATAAAACTTAACACTGTCAAAAGTAACGCAATGTAGGCTAGGCCGCGCCATAGCTCAAGCGGTTAGTCGCTGGCTTCCCACCGCGGCGGCCTGGGTTCGATCCCGGGTCTGGTCAAGTGGGATTTGTGGTGGAGAAAGTGGCGCTTGGGCAGGTTTTCCCTTAGTACTTCGGTTTCCCCTGCCAGTCTTTATTCCATCAAATTCTCCATCATCATAATAACCTGGGGTAGGCTACAATAGGCCAATCAGTGGCCGCCGTGTCGAGTGGATCTAGTTGGACCCCACCCCCCACTAAGCGAATTAAAGAAAAAAAACGCAATATAGGCTAACAATTACGTGTGTAGTCATAATACACAAAAATAGGAAATTTTAACTCAGTACTCGGTAAACTGAGGAGCTGGGGTAGCTCAGTCGGTATAGCGACTGGCTACGGGCTGGAGGACCGAAGGGTCGGAGTTCGAGTTCCAGTAGGGTCAATAATTTTCTCTTCTCAACGTCGTCCAGACCGGCTCTGGGGACCACCCAGCCTCCTCTCCAATGGGTACCGGGGGCTCTATCCCCGGGAGTAAAGCGGCCGGAACCTGAGGCTGACCACTCACCTCCAACTAGTGCCGAGGTCAAGGAAGTGTGGATCTATACATCCACTCCCCAATACGCCTTCATGAATTAGTGCTTAATTAGATAAGCACAGGGACAACTTTACCTTTTACTCAGTAAGTTTGCAACCTCCTTAAGTTGATCAGGTTTTAGTGGAAGCGCAGGTGGCCAAAGTAGGGTTCACTGTATTAGATCTCTCACTGTTATAACATCTTGAATACTATTGTAGCGTTGTTCCTGGGAAATTGTAGCCTGAAATCTGTATAAGGAGAAGTAGCAGGTGGTAAACTACATAACGAAGGATCTTATCATTATTCTTATTAATTAGGATCCTCAGGGCGTTAAGTGACTGAGGACAAGGCTTCGGCAGCTAGTCGCTGGCTTCTCACCGTGGCGTTTCATGTTCAGTTCCATGTAAGCTTGTATGGGATTTGTGGTAGAAAAAATGGCATTAGAGTAGGGTTTCTACGAGTACTTGAGTTTCCCCTGCCAATTATCATTGCAGTAAATGCTCTGTTTCTGTCGTCATATCATCTGGGGCTGTTACAGTGGATTATTTACGGCCTAAGTATCAAGGGAATCAGTCTCACCCCACCCCAATCTTAAAAGAAAAGGTTGGAGGAGCGTTTGATATCCCCGAGAGGAAGAAAATATACCTATACGGCTTTGGTTGAAAACACATGAAATTATATATATGTCGAGATGGTAGAATAATATTAAAATGGATCTTAAAGAACATGAACTGCTTTGTATTATCTCAGGGTAGGATTTAGGGGAGCTGTAGGCAAACTTTGGCGTCAGAAACAGGGACAGTTTTACATGTCCTATTGTCTGATATCGAAGTTAATATGCAGTTGACCACCTGAAGCGTTTCTGTTTCGTCACTTAGGTCAGTTTTCGTGACTGAGAGAATATTTGAATAATGCCTTAATCACTTTCTCTTTCAATCATACAAATCACAATTCGTCATAACTTTAATATCAATCACAACCTCTATTAACCTTTGAATAAAAGAATGGAATCCTATACTGAACAAATATAGCGATATGAAGAGAAAGCGTTCCTTCGCTACGGTGGGAGAGCAGATCTCGTTAAATAAACGTGCGCCACGTAAAATGTAAACGTGTAGTTGAGCAATGGCTTTAGTAACGTGAGCGTATGTACGGGCGC